TTAACTTGAATCTAGTAAGCTACCAATTGGTCATCATATCTTCTTCTGCTCTTTATTTTTAGTCGATTTGACAACTAATGGGTCATTATTTTCACACTAAAAGCCATCTTCAAGCACTTTCGTTTTGAGGGAAGTTCTAAATTAGAGTTGTCTTTCAAAAGGCTGTTGGAATTTAACCTGTTCATTTTTTTTGGCCTGCAAATGGGACATAGTACCTTTAATAACAAGCTGCTCAGGATCATCAACAAAAAAAAGAGACCTCAGCCCCTGAACTTACGACCAATTTGAATCACTTAGACTTAGCTGTTATCAATGACAGCTTTCTGTACATTAGATATAGGCAATTGTAACTTTATATTTCATTCAAATGCAAAGACAAGGCCTCAAGTAGTACTTGGGCAATAGATTCAAAATATCAAAGATGTTGGTCTCAAAATCGTTCCTGAGAATTAGAAGAAGAAAAAAATGTGGCATGTTCTTAAAAGAGTATATGTATTTGAAAGGCACATCCCTTAGGCCTCAACAAAAAAAGGATGTTGTATTGCCCTTCGCGACCGACCCAAAAATCTTGAAATCTAAGGTCAGCTTTTTAATTAAATTGTTTTTAACAGTTTTTTTAGAAGAAAAAATGTATGAAGGCATTCAAAACTGAGAAATGTCAGCTCAAAGAGGGAGCAAATTTTTTTTTTTTTAAAGTTAAAAAACTGACTGACTAACTGACCCATGTTATGGCACCTAAAGGGCAATACAACATCTTTTTTTAAGGCCGTATTTCAAGACATTCAAATTGCAATTTTACGTTTTTTCTTCCCCCTTTCCCTATATCTAGACACTCCTACTACTATTTCACGAGTTTGAAATTCAATGAGTCATGAAAAAGATGAATATAAAGAATATATTTTCCATTTTTATGAGAAAAAAATTCAGCCTTGATTGAAAAGTCCATATGATTACAAGTACCTAATGATGTTGTATATTTGCAAAATTAAACCAAAAGGTGAAACATCTTTAGCTCAAGATAATGTATGCAGAACAAGTGAATACAGAAAACCTAACTAATGCATAGTTTTATATTTCAGTTTGTAATGGGCAATGACCTTGTTGCAAGCTCTAACCCACGTACAATGTTTTATTGCTCAGAGGCAGTGTTAATTTCAACGAAGTTTTTTCGCCCAGTGAATACTTCATAGAAGTGGAGATTGATGTTGCTCAGGACTCGACCCCGTTTCATAAAACTTGATATCAATAACAAGTTACAAGCTACTGTTATAAGCTACTGAAATCATGGCATCTGATTGGCTGAGAGCACATTTGTCATAGAAATTTAGCAGTTGTTATAGATAACAAGTTGATATCAATAACAAGTTACATGCTACTGTTATAAGCTACAGAAATCATGGCATCTGATTGGCTGAGAGCACATTTGTCATAGAAATCTAGCAGTTGTTATAGATAACAAGTTGATATCAATTACAAGTTACAAGCCACTGTTATAAGCTACTGAAATCATGGCATCTGATTGGTCGAGAGCAAATTTGTCATAGAAATTTAGCAGTTGTTATAGATAACATGTTTTATGAAATGGGCCACTGGAAAGCTCCACTAGAACTCTTTACAAATGAATAACAGCTCAGTTAAAGTCAATATATTTCTTTAAGAAATGCAATAAAATATCACTCATGAATAAAATAGTAGTATGACACTGTCACTTAACGACAGTGAGAGTCTTACCCAGGGTATACCTGGACATTTTTGTTCACTATATGACAGTGTTGCTATCGTTATATCTACTTTTCCTGAACAAAGACTTTAGAATTTACACAAAAATATGAAACATCACATTTATTTCCATGGCGGCATTTTTAATAGTTTTATGGGTAACATGAAATATCACATATATTTCGTTGTTGACACATTCTAAAATAATCCTAGAATAACAAATAAAGGAGAGGAGACTTCATGTAACAATTTTGCAGTTCGGGAAAGGTCCTCAACTCGTAAAAGAACGATACGTCCATTTGTTAATCCCTTCATGGTTTGGCTAAATCATAAAAATGCCATTCCCTGCATCATATCCATTCCCTGTGGTGAGTGCCACAGGGTGCGTACTATGACCACATTTAATAGCCAAAATTCAATCTCCACCTTTCAAATATATATCCTTTACAATTGTTCTTTCAAAGTCAAATTTTGGAGACTCTCCCAGAAGGAGATACAAATTACCCTGTACCTTCTAAAAGTCACAGGTGATAGGAACAGTCCGGGTTAGAAGATGTTGGGGGTAGGTAACTCAGTATTCTCTCCAGTGACATTTAACTCCAGTCTTTATTTTGCCAACAATACATGGTTGGGGTCACGTTTATGTATTTTTCTTTAGGTTTACAGTTAGGGTCAGGTATTGTGTTTGTTCCAGAGTCAAATCTAGTAATTTGCCAAGTGACTACAAATGATTGCTAAAGCATGTGTGGTACAACCCCAGTGACAGTCGAGATCACAGAATTTTGCAAATGTGTTTTTCCCGGTGCATGGTTGATGGATATTAACACCTATGTTTTTCTTACCAGACCAAAGTAATAATTCATCTTTGTTTTGTTTTTACCACCTTTTAACCCAAGTCCTTATTATAATAGCATCATCTTTTTCAAGGTTACTTCTGCACAGTAAGGACTAATTAAGGCAATACAAAATGCAAAATGTCTCGGGGAACGTATGAACCTCAATCTAGGCACTTTATTTTAGACAGGTATCCACCAAGTTTGTTTGTTTAAATGTATAGGCATACCCCCCCCCCCCTTTATGTTGTTGTAAGTGATTTGTTATTTTTTGTAGCATCCTTAATGTATTATGTTACAGGGTCAGCTAATCACAAGGCTTGTTCCTTTCTTGCTGTCCCTCTCATACTTAATCCAAATGTATACTTTGTTAATAATTTTTCTTGTGAATTTTACCCTTTGTATCATGTTGATTTATGAATGTTTGCATGTGTTTTCTGGATTTTTATGAGCAAATAAATTGAAATTGAAATTGAATTGAAATTGAAATTGAAATTGAACCTCCAGAATGGAATAACGCATTGCATGTAGGTGTTGAATTCATTAAACAGAGGGAAGATATTGCTTATCGTCTTGAAAGCGCTGTGGATGCTTAACACAACCCTGAGACCAAACGAGACAAACTTCTCAAAGATTGCCTGAAAACACACTGCTGATTTAAGGCTGAAGTACTGTTTCCATCAAACACGCTATAATGATTTTCCAACGAGGAGACACCTCGGCATAATTGAGTCTCATTTTGAAGAAGAAAAAAAATTCACGGCCGTGTGGTGAGCCAACCAGGAGTTGCTACAGATGGCATGCACAGGGAGGAGAGAGTGAGAGAGATGGGGGAAGAGAGAGAAAGTGCTACTACTTTTTGTTCTCGTTCCCACCCGCTTTCTTAGGCTTTTTCCGGTAGTAGCGGCGCAGCTCTTCACGGATCCTGCAGCCGGGTGGGAAACGAGAAACAAAAGAGACCCGGTCAACGTTATGTTACTCTTCTCCCGTAATCTCTCTTCAAAACTCTTCCCCTAAAATCATTCTAAAATTCTCTAGAAATAATAAGTCACATTTGTGTAGGCTTAATACTACGTTTCTAAGCACTTTCATTGTAATTATTATTACCCTGGTCTTTGGACTCGGTTGCTAATCCGCACGTGATAGTGCACATGCTCCGCTCCCTGGGGAGTATAGCCACATGTACTCTTGAAAGTCACGCCAAAACGAAACTCTTGGGCCCATACTATTGAAAAAAGGCCTTCTTTATTCCAAATTCTAACTCTTCTAACATAGAGTTAGTCCAACGGTAAATACATTTCTCGTTTTTCTTACAAAAGTTATTTATATGAAATGTACAATGACGGAGCTGATACTATACCTCCAATGGACGTATTTATACATGTCAAGCCAGTACAAATTTCGGGTGTAAAACGCATCTCCTAATTCTACCATACTGTTCCATTATCATTATTATTATTTTATCTCACATCTCACGGCGATTATCTATTTGACCTTTGACCCAATGACCCTAAATCTTCACACACATCTCAAAAAACCCACCTCATCCAAACCATTAGATAATTGCCTTTGAATCTACACATCAAACACACACATCTCCTAATTCTACCATACCATACCATATCACTTTCGATTCTCAAGATGAGTATTTATTTGACCTTTGACCTAATGACCCTAAATATTCACACACATCATAACAACCCACCTCATCCAAATCATGAAATTATTGTATTTGAATCTACACATTAAACACATCTCCCAGGAAACTGCTACCATCACTTGATTATTCTTCACTCAGACATTTTATTCTCACTTCTCCCTTAAGGTTTGAAGGAAATGTGTACATTTAAAGTTTGTCATAATAAAAAAAAAGGGGGATTCCATGGGGCAGGGAAGTATTTCAATCTAAACATAATCTTTCTAAAAACAGTTAATATGTTATATTTCTGGAGCATCAGTAGACCCAATGCTTTGAAGTTTCTTGAACTAAAGTGGAAGACATCCCCAGCCTTGGAGATCACAACCCACCCCCTCATGCTCTTACAGATAACTGAGCGCTCTTTTTCTAAGATTCAACACTCTTAAAGTAAGGTAACTATGTGTCTTTTGTTGCATCTTGTCATTAAATCCAAGCCTTGAACATTCCTCCCCTCCCCCCTTCCTCCTCTACCAACTGAATACCTAAGCAATCTATTCCTGAGGGATGACCCCCCACCCATCATGAAAAACAAAGTTTGTTTGTTCGTTCGTGTCTCCTTAGATCAAGATCAGTATCTTGATCTTCGGAGTAGTTACTACAACCGGCCGTGTAAGACACGTTGCCCCAGGGTGCGATATAGGACTCTTGTATCGTGCCCCCACTTTATAACACAATTATACATTAAAAATTAACATTACATTTAATTAAAAGAATGAAAAGAAAAGAAAAGTAAAGAAGGCAGTACTTACTGGTTATTAAGTCGCATTTGTTGTTGAGCCTGCTGTTGTCTGTACTGACTGATCTGATTGGGCGCAACGCAATCCATGAGGTCTAGACTCTCCTTGATCTTCATCAGCAGCTCGTACTTCTCACGCCCTTGGACCTGTTTGGACAAATTACAAGGATCAGTAAGTCATTAGTTTTTTGCTTAGATATAAACAGAGATGCCAACCTCTTGACACAAAACAACAGACTGAGTATCCTAAAAAAAAGAGAAGATTTTCAGGAAAACTCAACACTACCCCGGGCCAGTACTTACTGGTTAAGTACGGTCAGGTAAAATGTTTGCTCTTTCATTAAAATTTAATGAGAAAATTGTAAAGCAAAGTTTTTGTTGGGGTTGCGGGTTTACTTGTACATGTTCCACCATTTTTATGGGTTTTAAAAACAAAATAAACTAGATGGAATTCGACTGCGCGCAGTCGAAAATGATGCCTCCGTCATAGAGCAATTTTACAAACCAAAACAGAAGACATTTTTCGAATTCAAGTTCAATTGTAATCCATTAACAGGTTCTCAGAATATCGTGATTACAAGCAATTTCTCATATACATATATGACCCTTTGATCTTTGACCTCATGACCCTAAAATCTACTCAGTTCATTGGCTCTGCAAGATGTCCTGAGTTAAATAGTAATCCATCGGTCAGTTCTAATGAGAATGTGTTCACAAGCTATTTTTGCATACATAATGAGCCCATGACCTTTGACCTTTGATCTTATGAACCAAAAATCTACTCAGTTCATTGGCTCTGCAAGTAACATACATGACCTAATTTTGGCAGGAATCCATCAATCGGTTCTTGAGAACGCGATCACGAGCTGTTTTTGCATACATAATGTGCGTTGTGGCCTTTGACCTTTGACCTCATGACCCCAAAATCTAATCAGTTCATCTGCTCTGCAAGTAACATACATGACCTAAGTTTAGCAGCAATCCATCAATCGGTTCTTGAGATAACGCAATCACGAGCTGTTTTTGCATACATAATGTGCGCTGTAGCCTTTGACCTTTGACCTCGTGACCCCAAAATCTAATCACTTCATCGGTTCTGCAAGTAACATACATGACCTAAGTTTGGCAGCAATCCATTACTCGGTTCTTGAGATAACGCGATCACGAGCTGTTTTTGCATACATAATGAGCCCTGTGACCTTTGACCTTTAACCTCATGACCCCAAAATCTAATCAGTTCTTTGACTCTGCAAGATACATACATGACCAAAGTTTGGCAGGAATCCATCAATCGGTTCTTCAGATAACGCGATCACGAGCTGTTTTTGCATACATAATGAGCCCTGTGACCTTTGACCTTTGACATCGTAACCCCAAAATCTAATCAGTTCATCGGCTCTGCAAGATACATACATGACCAAAGTTTGGCAGGAATCCATCAATCGGTTCTTCAGATAACGCGATCACGAGAACGGGACGTACGTACGTACAGACGTACGTACGTACAGACGTACGTACAGACGGACGGACGGACAACCCGAAAACATAATGCCTCCGGCTACTTCGTAACGGAGGCATAAAAATTATATTTTAAGAGGTGATATCGTATTATCGTATTTCACTCTTATTACTGTACAAAATAAGATTTAATCGTACTGGTGGGCATCTCTGTATGAAGTTCAGTGCTTCCTTGCCCAGAGCCCCTTGTTAAAAAGTAAAGGAACTTTATGGCGCATTTAGACAGACTCGTACTGTTTACGAATCAGAGCTGTTGCAAAAGGTTCAAAACGTACAGTTACACCATTCATTTCTGCATTTTCCAGTAAACCAGGGGCCTGTTTCATAAAACTTTTTATCTATAACATATGCTAAATTTCTATGACAAACTTGCTCTCAGCCAATCAGATGCCATGATTACAGTAGCTTATAACAGTAGCTTGTAACCTGTTATTGATATCAAGTTTTATGAAACAGGGTCCAGATTGTTATCAAGAGGGTTCCAATGTTTTGAATCTACGTATATCCAACAAAATCATATTCATCAAAATGATACTTTGATTAAGATCGTTTTGTCCAATGTTTTCCTTTCCTTTGAAATTAAATATATACTGAACACAAAATCTTTTCGACCAACAATAATGAGTTCACAGATGCAAACGTATCAAAGTAAAGAAGTACAAAATACTGAACACTAGGCCCACTGTACACTATGTCAATGTTTTTTCTACGAAGATGCAGATTTTTATGCTGTGAGGTAGCTGTACTATGGTTTAGTTTGTCTTAGCTTTTTATCTGGATTTTGTTTAACAATTTTACTTGTTTATTGTACAGGGAACTCCACTTACAAGCTTAAGCTTCTCTCGGGTTCCCTAACCATTTTTACTTTGTATATCCAACATGTTTTGTATATGTCTTTCAAAAGTAGTTGGTATTCCTGAAGGTTGTTTTTTTTAAAAATGGTTGAACCAAAAAATGAAATGAAAAAAATACCTCTATGAGGAAGGTTTCTTCATCTTTCTTGGCTTTCTTGGAGAAAGATGTCAGCCCAACTACAGATGTGACTTTGCTGGGACCTGAAAAGAAAAGCAGTCAGAATGCTAAAAGTATGTTCCAATCACCTAATAAATAATTTGCGTACAGCTAGAATGTACAAAAACAACTTAAAATCCGTCTGCACTAGTTTGGCCAGGGGGGAGGGGGGATTAGACCTCCCTGCAAGGTCACTGACAGGTGGTTATCTCATCAAATCAGCTCTCAATTAACATAAGAAAAAGAGGATCATGGGGGACCAACAGGCACCGATTAGGCATATATAGAGGGCGCAAGTAGCTACAGTCAAACCTGTCTACAGCGACTGCCCAAGGGTAACACAAAAAGTGGTCTTTGTAGACAGGTGGTCTTTGTAGACATGTTCCTTTAGTATATGTTTCAATGAGAAACCATTTTCAAGGGAAACAAAAATTGTGCTTGTTGTAGACAGATGGTCACTAAAGCATTTATGGGGAGGTGAAAGAAAGATCCATTTCTCATCATTCTTCGGTACTAAAGATTTTGTTTCGAAGTGACTTGACTCACCTCTCTTGAGTGGTTTCTTCTGAGGAGCCTTGGACTTCTCAAAGGACTTCTCCTCCGTCTTACGGTCTCTGCCTGGACAGGCACACACCCGTACGTCCAATACCTGTCGACCAAGGATGCTCCCAGTCCTGTAAACAGAACGCAAGAAACGTGCGATAGTGTGATAATACAGATAGGGTCGAAGTCTGGTCATGCAAATGCATTGTGAAAGATACTGTCTGGAAGTATTAACTGGAATAGGTTGGTCCCATAGTATATTAGGGTGCGTTCAAGCGACACTTTTTCACCCCAGTAAAGAAATTTACTCTTTTCAAAGAAATTTAGTTTAAAACACGGTTGCGTTCAAGCGATTTTTCGTTGGCCGTAAAAAGAAACGTGTTTAAAAACGCAAACGTAAAATGCTGAAAAAGCTGTATTTTGTATTGTGATTGCTTGAAGGAACAGAGATCTCAGTCATTCTATAAACGTTGATGAAAAATTGCTTGGATGCTCTCCCGCAGTAACCATGTTTTTTAACGGCATTTTGATTTGTGATTCATGTTTGCGATTTTAGCTTTAACAAACATCCCTTGAACACACCCAAAGAATAAATGTGAAATGTGGGCTTAATCATATTAAATTAAATGAAACACTATGCTGACAATTAGGAATAGGGATATGTATTGTACCCTCATGTAGGTATGTGGGACTACACATACATGTGGCACCAAAATTTAGTCAAAACGTACATTAAAAAAAAAAGAAGTTTTATTTAGAATAAGGGTTAATTTCAAAAGCATTCCTAATCATGTGACATTGCGTTCGTACAGGGATAAAATGTAAGAGAAAATTCCGAACATTTGGAGAGATGTCAGGGACTGATGATAATTGTCTTGTTTAGTGCGGTAGCCTCATCAGTATCAATACTGTTCTCCCTAAAGGGCTCTGCATTCATATAATATTAAGCCTGAAACATGCATCCCTAAATAACCCCCCCCCCCCAACTCTCTCAGGTGTTTCTGCCAAGGGCAGTTGCACACACTGTTTCCATCTTTTTCTGAAAGTCCTTTCTCCACCCCCCCCCCCCCCCCCTCTAAACAGCAGTAGTATGTAATTGCTGTGGCAACATACAATTCTTATCTATATCTTGATCACAGGAGGGGGAATACAAGAGACATCCTAATCATTATCTATATATCTTTTATAGTTATCATTGGATGGAGGGGGGGGGGGGGGGGCGCAAATAAAAGCAACAATTTTCTTATTATCTATATATTTATCATCAGAAAAGGGGGGGGGGGGGGATTCAAAATAAAAAACAGCTTACTCATTCTCTAGCGTGAAGACCAGTTGGATCTTTCTTCTGTTCAACCCTCCGACACAAGAAATGAAGCATTTGAAGGTGAAAAGATACTTTGAGAACTCTGTCCCAACCTGAGGCACAGTGTACGGGACTACAAGGCTGTGCCGTGCACTTTGTAGATCGGTGTAATACATCGTGGCAGGATCACTGCAGAGGACCAAATGGTCCTTGGAATAATCTGCAGAAAGACAGAGAAATATATATATAATAATTAGGAAAAGCATAATTGAATAACGGCTTCAATATTCAAAGTTCAGACACAAGACTCATGCTTACAGATCCTAATCTTTAAAGCCCCACTGCACTACCAATAGCTGCTTGCGCCCTCTATATAACAAACAATGCCTAATTGGTGACCATTGGTCCCTCATGATCCTCTTTTTCTTATGTTAATTGAGAGCTGATTTGATGAACTTGCAGGGTGGTCTAATCCCTCCTGTACACATGGGCTTTAAAATTCGAACCCCAACAGAAAATGGTAGAGCTGAATCCTGCTTAACATATCAACGGTGAAATGACAAAGCTTTGAGAAACCTAAGGGTGTTTCACAAAGATCCTCAATTAAACTTATCTCAAGTTGGACTTGAAAATTATGGAAAGCCATTACCATCTGTGAAAATATTTTGTAAAAGTTATTTTAAAAGGCCTAAAATGTTTATTCAATCATTTTTATTTGCTATTATCAAGGAGATTTTATGTTCTTGATGTGGAATATACAAAAAAGTCTAAAATACTTGTACATTCAATTTTGAATATATTTTATTATAAGGCTACAAATGGCTCTCCATAACTTTTAACTCCAACTTAGAGTTAAGTTCGACTTGGGATCTTTGAGAAACACCTCCCAGGCTCTACTTACCCTGCGGCGAACCCACGTGGTTGGGGCACCTACTGACTACTTCGGCCAGGTTCTCCGCTTGTTTGAATATAGGCAGGACCCTGATGAAGCAGTTTGGAGGGGGCGCTGATGTAGTTTTGAATTGAATAGGGCATGGCTTGTCCCTGTCCACAAACAACTTCTTTAGAGTGGGACTGTACTGTAGGGGTCAAAGGTGAAAGGGTAGGGGTCAAAGGTCAAAGGGTAGTGTTTTAATCACCTAAGAAAACTGACAACAGATATGAGAAAGAGGAAGTCAAGACTAGATAAAATGAATAGCGAAGGAGAAAAAAAAAACTGAGGGCTAACTTCTACGGCTTGTCCCTTTCTTCTAACAACTCATTCAGTGTGGGATTGTACAATAGGGGACAAATGTGACAAGGCAGTGTTGCATCAGAAAGGTACCATAAATCAGAACAAATAAAGAAGAAACAAAGAATAACAAACAACTAGATGGAATTTTGACTGCGCGCAGTCGAAAATGATGCCTCCGCCATAGAGCAATTTAAACAAGTTTGGAGTTTAAATCTCCAGTGGTTCTTGAGATATCATGATAACAATCTCAATGTATGGAATTTCATAAGTTCACCTCTGTGACCCTTGACCTTTGACCTACGTGCTCCAAAATCTAATCAGATTGTCTTCCTATGGTGATACACACTATCATTAAGTTTGAAGTTTAAATCTCCAGTGGTTCTTGAGATATTATGATATGGTGATACATACTATCCTTAAGTTTGAAGTGAAAATTCTCCAGTGGTTCTTGAGATATCGCGATAACGATCTCAATGTATGGAATTTCATAAGTTGACCTCTGTGACCCTTGACCTTTGACCTACGTGCTCCAAAATCTAATCAGATTGTCTTCCTATGGTGATACACACTATCATTAAGTTTGAAGTTTAAATCTCCAGTGGTTCTTGAGATATTATGATAACAATCTCAATGTATGGAATTTCATAAGTTGACCTCTGTGACCCTTGACCTTTGACCTACGTGCTCCAAAATCTAATCAGATTGTCTTCCTATGGTGATACATACTATCCTTAAGTTTGAAGTTTTTACATCTCCAGTGGTTCTTGAGATATCATGATAACAATCTCAATGTATGGAATTTCATAAGTTGACCTCTATGACCCTTGACCTTTGACCTACGTGCTCCAAAATGTAATCAGATTGTTTTCCTATAGTAATACACACTATCACTAAGTTTGAAGTTTAAATCTCCAGTGGTTCTTGAGATATCATGATAACAATCTCAATGTATGGAATTTCATAAGTTGACCTCTGTGACCCTTGACCTTTGACATACGTGCTCCAAAATCTAATCAGATCGTCTTCCTATGGTGATACATACTATCCTTAAGTTTGAAGTTTAAATCTCAAATGGTTCTTGAGATATCGCGCTAACAAACTCAATACAAAGAATTTCATAAGTTGACCTCTGTGACCTGTGACCTTTGACCTACGTACTCCAAAATCTAATCAGATCGTCTTCCTATGGTGATAAATACTATTCCCGAGTCTTAAGTTTAAATCTTAAATGGTTCTTGAGATATTGTGATAACGGTCAAACGGGACGGACGGACGTACGGACGTACGGACGGACGTACGGACGGACGGACGTACGGACGGACAACCCGAAAACATGATGCCTCCGGCACCACCTTCGGTGGCGGAGGCATAAAAAACAAACAAAATGTTTTTTTGTTTGTTTTTGAATCTGTAATTTTAGACAACATTCCGTATTGCCGCAATGATCGTTAATTTCTGTACCAATTACTAGTTGGCAGCTCTGCTATTGTGATGGACTTGGAGCTGAGTGCCTCTCACGTAGTCAATAATTCTTTATACTTACAGTCCATGATACACTCTTAGCCGCCTGGGAAGTGGGTTGGCCGAGATTGATCTCAAATGCATAATCCCCTGGATACTCCACACTGCATGAGAAGAATATTACAGACACATATTTATGTGAAAAATGTGAAGTAGATAATCTTTTCCATTCTCATCAAATTGTGGATTAGAAGTTTGTATGAACTTCTGGGCAAACTGAAGAGTGGAAAGCCAGGCATATGTTCCTTAATTTGAGTTCCATTCTAATGTTGTATAGATTATCAATAATGGATAGAGCATAAGAATATCTGGCACTTAACAATAATACTTGAAATTTACAGTGCACTTTCCACTGGATCAAAAGCACTCTCAGAGTTGGGAGTCGAAACATATTCTAGTTGTATCATGGAACAATGTAAGACTATTATAATAACGGTTGAGTAGTGGTGATTAGTTTACCTGACTACTAAGAAAGCATAAATGCTTGTTATTAAGCAACCAGACGGCTGACGGCTTTAGGTCCTCTCCGAGAGACCTGGTAATGAGGATTAATGCCTCACCAAAGGGCACTAGCGCATCGCCTTGGTTTCAAACCCGGGTCACCGGATTACAAGACCACTGCTCTACCGACTGAGCAATCGCGCCTCGTTTATTGCCAGAACTAAATACTTGAAATTGCAGGAGGAAGATCTTCCAAACTTACTTGGACGGCAGCTGTTGGTTGTTGGGAGGGGGAGAGAAAGATGGAGGAGGGGAGGTAGCAGGTTCGGTGGCCGATGCGTATCCCGTCGAGCTGGGCATGTTGTGGCCAGGCGTCTGGTCTGTCCCCGCCTGGGGAGGCAAGGCCGAGTTCAGCTGGTCCAAGAACTAATATCAGAGAGGGAGAGATAGAGAGGCAGAAAGGGAGAGATAGAGAGGCAGAGTATGTAAGCGAAAGAGATGGGGGAAAAGTAACAAAGAAGTAAGAAAAAGATGAAAGTTAGTAAGTAGCAAAATTCAGGGCTAGACATTTTTTTTTCATTGGGAAACTTGATTAATGATAAGAGCTTGTAAATCTGGGCCCCTGATAAGTTTTTGAAATATTGGGGTCTGGGGACAGAATTGGTAGCTATGTGTGTCCCTGGCACCCGTTAGTGTACAGATGTGCAAAATATAACATTTGTGTGTGAAATGCATTCATTAGCTTTCAATCACAAACCGCCCTGAGGCACACGCAACTCATTTGTTCAAAGCCGCTTTCCAGTAGATTTAGCTTTACCTTCACATAGTTGTTCATTTTTGTGTATTTTTGTGTACTTATAGTTTTTCTTCTCCATGCGCCTCAAACACATTAGTCATGTGCAGTTGGCGCATTACAAATACTCTACATCATTATTATTATTATTATTATTATTAATGCACAGTAAATCATTAGTGCGCACTCACGATAAGCCTCGCCATGGTTTTGTTAGACGTTCAGAGTCAGACAAGAGTGGGACCCTGATTCTTCATCAAGTTTTCTTTTGAAACAATGCTCAAACATACGTTTCTTATATATTTTTTTACACGTTCAGACGAAGAGAAATTCAATTACCCAACGTATAGCAATTTGAGACTCGTATACATGTAGCTAAACGATGAACCGAGGTTGTCTAAACACAGGGTTTATTATAATTCCAGTGCACGGAATTGACCAAGATATAAGACCTGCAAGACCATAATATAAAAATTGACATTTAGAATTCTAATTTTGTAAAGAGACTATATACCCTTGGGTCATCAGGAACCACCAAAAGATATTTGTCTTCGTTGTCACCTTTAACCTCAGGCGGATCCGTAACAACATAACCACAAACACGTTCATGACCATCATCGTCAACCTCTACAAGAGCTTGGGTTAAGGCCATTTTGAGTGAACAGAGTTTGGGTTTACGATCGGGCAGAAATATTAGAGAACCTCTGCTAAAACGAGTTGTGCATTAACTCCTGCAAATTATGACTATGTGCGCATCTGCCATTTCAAGTACATAGGGCAGTCTATTTTAATTGTCCACATAAATATCGGAGTATAAATGGTACACATAGTCCCAACCACTGTCAAGGATGTGGGAAATGATCATCTCAGACCTTCGACGGCCCTTCATTATCTGTAGAAACGCAGGGCAAATAAGCTAAACATGGTCCGACTTTCCAACAACTGTAGTCGACTGTGCTAATCCACCATCTTGACTTGTACATCATGGCAGTCTTTACGATCCGTAGAAATATCATCAGACGTATAAAGCAAAACATGACTGCCACTTCTGCAGTTGACTGTGTAAATTGACCATCCTGCATTTACACATGCATGGTAGCTTTTACAATCTGTAGAAGCGTCACTGTACGCTACATAATCGCGGCCACTGCAAACAGTTGACTGTGCAAATCTTGAGTTTACATGTACATGGCAGCCATTACAATCAGAAGGAACATCACATGATATTGAGCTAGCTATTCTATCACCATTCTCGTAACACTCCCACACCAGCTTAGCATGCTGTAAACCTGTATCAATCCAAGGAGCTCGGAGTTGCCTTTGAACACGTGTGGTTCATTGCTGTGTAGAGAGCAATAGGAAAAGTAACGATCCATAAAGCAACACAACACACACACTCACTCACACAGTGTAGTGTATACATTTTGGGGCATAAAAGAACAACATACAATGCACAGGTAGTCTGAGTACACAAGCCATGCAGACAGATTGATTCTTTAGAACCAAATTGAATGAGGGTTTCGTAGTGTAGTCTTCCAATTCAGACTCTGTTTTTTTTTTTTGGGGGGGGGGGGGAGGAGGCTATGGTTCAGATATAAGTTTCATCTTCTCTCTTTCAACTCTGGTACTGGTAGAATTGTAGTCTTTATGTTCAGAGTATATGAAAACATTTCATCTACAGCCTGTTAGTTCACATAAGGTTCGAACTGTAGTCTTCGTATTCAGACTCATGGAGATATTCTGAAATCACGAATGAGAAATCAGCAAGGTTCAACAACAACAACAACAACATTTTGGGGATTGAGGAGAGTCCATACTAATATTTAGCTGGTATAAATTTTGAGCAATTTCTGATTGAAAGTAGGAAAGAAACAAATTTCTAAATTTTGCGAGGTCCTCTCTAATTTGCTCTGTACAGAAATTTCATAAACGTTCATTTTCTTAGTTATTGACAAAGGAAAAGATTGGTTTCATACAGAGGTAGTATAGTAGAAACACAGTTGTAATAATTTATATTTAGGGTGCATGTATTAATATTGAACATTTTCTTTCTCGTCATGCTGAATACTAATCTGAAGAGGAACTGACAAGTCCAGGGAAAAGCGTCATGTAGACCCTTCCTTGAAATGCTAGAGCGCCGTATGGCAGCCTTGCTAAAGCCAGGGTAATAATCGGGAGCGCCAGGAGAAACCGATCCACCTACCGACTCCCCTCACGGAGGAGTAGTAAGGGTAGTGGATGGTGGGAGTCTAGCCACCAACAAACGGGCAAAGACCCCCAAAAAGACTAACAACAGCACAGAGCTTCTCAGAAGCCAAGCTTAGCAAGACGGGTCCCGAGCTGCACGGCGAAACCGATCCCGAATCAGGCATTATCTTGCTCATTTGGGGGGAACATGATTTTTTGTTCAAGTCTTCTGTCGATCTGGGCCCCCGTCTTAAAATGAGTTGGTATCAATCACAGCTTATTTGCGATTGATATCGTTCGCAACTACGTACATTAGAGATAGGAGACTGCAAACTTGCGATTGATTGGGATCAATCGTAACTCTTTATAAGACAGGGCTTGGGCATAACATGTTGAAAAAGATAGTTGTGATATGCACATTTACATGTATACGAGCAGAAGGGTCAAAGGTCAAATCATGTTGCTTTGAAAAGTTCCCTTCCATGTACAATCTCTACCAGAGGGAGCTATTCGGCGCTTCATTAAATGCCTAACCAATCAGCATCAACTTCCAGTGACGCAGCTATCTCTCCAGTAGAGTACCAATGATACTACCAGCGATTTTTATGGGGATTCCCCAAAATCACACTGAAGGGTTTAAATTACTGAATATGTAAATTTATGCATATCACCTCAATAGCACTTGGGATGAGCCAAAGTACAACTAGTCTGTTGTTGACAAATCGAGTGACTTTTCTCCAAGTCCAGACATGTCCAAAACCACAAGCCCATTTCGTACCCTTCCTTATAACCCACATGTAATATTTTTAAAGAACTACATGTAAAAAAAGAATAAATTAGTCAAATAGGCAACATTTCACTATACCCATTTCATATTCGTTTTATAACACATATATAAGGATATCTTTAAAGAACTGAGTAAGAATAAATTAGTCAAATTGGCAACATTTCACTATACCCATTTCATATTCTTTTCATAACACATATATCAGGATATCTTTAAAGAACTGAATAAGAATAAATTAGTCAAATTGGCAACATTTCACTTCTCCCATTTCATTATACTTTATATATAAGGATAATCATTGAAAAAAATACACGGGACTAAGGGGAATTAGCCCTAAAATGCTAAAAAAGAGCCCTCGAAAGTCATCAAAGAGTCCAAAAAATTTGCATAGAGTTCAATGCAAAACAAATTAAAGAGTGTTATTTTCATGTAAGCATGCTTGAAAAGTAGCCCCCAAAAAAATTGTAAGTATTTTTTTCCCTGATTATTATCTTTAAAGAACTAAATATAAATTATTCAAATTGGCTACATTTCGTTACTCCTATTTCACTCTCATCTTGAAAATATGAAAAAGGCCCTATATTCTTCAAATTTGCAAGAACAATAATTTTATTTAAATCGAACCATATTCCAGCTATAAGTGATTTTAACTGTAAGAAATACAGATTAGAATTCTTAAAAACTAAATTTTTGAAGAAAAAACAAAATGAAAACGAAGACTTTCTGTTAATAGGAAGGAAGGTCGGTCTTGTGGGAGGGGTGGTTATATTCCAAAGCTCTTTGGAAGCGCGCAGGGAAGTTACATCAAAATGTGAGATGCGTTATTAAAACCGTTATACAAGATCAGAATAATTTTATTATTATTATTGTTATTATGGAAATGACAGCGACATTAACATTCAACATAGTACCATAGTAAGATTTAGACTGTATTTAATTTGTTTTACCCCCTTTTGACTTCGTCTTTTTTTTTTGCCATACAAGGATGTTTTTCTCACTCTAACCCCCCCCCCCCCCCCCCCACACACACACACAATAGTCTAAAGATCAACGCTGCCACATAAAGATGAGTTATACACAAACGGCTAAATACCAATTCGCATAAATAGTGGATTTGATACATCAGACTAAAACTACCATGATAACCAGGCGAAGAATGTTAAAATAGAAATAAAAACATAATTCTTTAACTCAATAAAAAAGGCAGGCACCTGTACAAAGCTAAGAAAGGTCCACACCTGAAAACAAAGACACAAACTGTCTTACACTGCAATATTTTTATGCCAACATACCAAATGAAAGTAAGATACTGACACACCCCAGTGACACAAAATGGGCCTAATACCATAGAAACTACACATGTATCTCAATGTATATGACTTAACAGTATTACTTTGCAATAAAACAAATCTACTGTGTAGGGACAGGGGGTCTACACTTTCCCAATGCAAATTGTGCTCATGGGAGAAGCATCACACATCACGTACACTACCCAACTGCATCATCAAGCTTAGAACCTATGCATAAATATGACATCATCATCATCATCAAACAAAACGTCTTTATGAAATGTTACCTCGAGCAGGAAAATGATTTGTCTTACATCCAAATAAAAGTGTTCCTCCTCTTTTTGTTAGGTTCACAACATACAGCTGAGCTGAAGTACGGTGTTGTTTTATCCTTAGTGTGATCATAATCTCAATCCCATTTAGTTTCGTTGGAATATACACCAACATACATGCATGTACACACAAATCAGCTGTGTTCAGGGGAGAACCTGAACTACTTTCAGCTCATGCATATATTCATGAGCTCCTTCCATAAAAGGATGTGGCACTACCTTATTGGGAGGACAGACTCTGGACTTTGACCAATCAGGTTCTGGGAACCGGGGTGAAAAGGTGAACCTGGGTGACATCACCAAGAGGCCTGGGAAAGATTGTGTTTGTAAATATGACAAGTCTGGACAAGTCTGTGGGACGTTCTATTATCTCTCCACAAATGGGGGTGTTGGGGAAAATCAATACACTGAAGTCTCTAGGACAAAAAGGATCAGTTAGCAGATAATTTCTGAAATACCCATTCAGCAATTAATTAGGTTCTTTAGTAATGGCATACTTTTTGTCCGTCATTGGCATTCCAACCCATTGTCACTTCGCATACTTTTAGAAATCCTGTAAATGCACCAGTTTGTAATTACCTTTCGTTGCAACCCCCTACAAACACAAAATTGATCGGCCTCATTTGAATACAACTGATACGAAGACAAAAACATTGGACTCAATCAGCTGATCTGAGAAAATCTAAGATTGTAGCAAATTAATGGGACATATAACAAAGTCATGTTTTACTAATTTGATGAAATTGATCTTCTTTGAAAAATAAGCACCACAAATCTTAACATTAGTATTTCACTTCCTAAAATACAATTTGAAAAGCAAAATAACCAAAAAAAGATTATTTAATGTAATGATATTTTACATCACAAAAGAATCATGCCAATAGGCATAGCCAATTATCTACATTGTTCCTCTGTTGTGTTTTTCTTTCTTCTAATAAAAAACAACAACTATTAAATACGAGGAAATAGGGATATACTACAGGTAAATTATTTGTCATGTTTAACTTCCTAGCAATGGCAAATTTCAAGACAAATGGGAATCATCACCAAAAAGACGATATATACATGTAGCCTGTGGAGAGGAGGGGGGAGGAGGCTTTAGAAGCTCCCCCTCTTTATTTGTCATGAAATTTTATGACTTTTTTCTTACGAGTTTTGCGCATCTTTTGAAATAAATTTTTCGAAAATCTCTCATTTTCGTGATTTGTGTACATATATTATTTTTCAAAAAAAGAGATAATTTTCAAAAAAAAATAAACTAGATGGAATTCGACTGCGCGCAGTCGAAAATGATGCCTCCGTTATAGAGCAATTTTACAAACCAAAACAGAAAAAAAAAATTGAATTCACGTTCAATGGTAATCCATTGACAGGTTCTCAGAATATTGTGATTACAAGCAATTTCTCATATACATATATGACCCTTTGATCTTTGACCTCATGACCATAAAATCTACTCAGTTCATTGGCTCTGCAAGATGTTCTGAGTTAAATAGTAATCCATCTGTCAGTTCTAATGAGAATGCGTTCACAAGCTATTTTTGCATACATAATGGGCCCATGACCTTTGACCTTTGACCTTATGAACCAAGAATCTACTCAGTTCATTGGCTCTGCAAGTAACAAACATGACCTAATTTTGGCATGAATCCATCAATCGGTTCTTGAGATAACGCGATCACAAGCTGTTTTTGCATTCATAATGTGCGCTGTGGCCTTTGACCTTTGACCTACGTGCTCCAAAATCTAATCAGATTGTCTTCCTATGGTGATACACACTATCATTAAGTTTGAAGTTTAAATCTCCAGTGGTTCTTGAGATATTATGATAACAATCTCAATGTATGGAATTTCATAAGTTGACCTCTGTGACCCTTGACCTTTGACCTACGTGCTCCAAAATCTAATCAGATCGTCTTCCTATGGTGATACATACTATCCTTAAGTTTGAAGTTTTTACATCTCCAGTGGTTCTTGAGATATCATGATAACAATCTCAATGTATGGAATTTCATAAGTTGACCTCTATGACCCTTGACCTTTGACCTACGTGCTCCAAAATGTAATCAGATTGTTTTCCTATAGTGATACACACTATCACTAAGTTTGAAGTTTAAATCTCCAGTGGTTCTTGAGATATCATGATAACAATCTCAATGTATGGAATTTCATAAGTTGACCTCTGTGACCCTTGACCTTTGACATACGTGCTCCAAAATCTAATCAGATCGTCTTCCTATGGTGATACATACTATCCTTAAGTTTGAAGTTTTTACATCTCCAGTGGTTCTTGAGATATCATGATAACAATCTCAATGTATGGAATTTCATAAGTTGACCTCTATGACCCTTGACCTTTGACCTACGTGCTCCAAAATGTAATCAGATTGTTTTCCTATAGTGATACACACTATCACTAAGTTTGAAGTTTAAATCTCCAGTGGTTCTTGAGATATCATGATAACAATCTCAATGTATGGAATTTCATAAGTTGACCTCTGTGACCCTTGACCTTTGACATACGTGCTCCAAAATCTAATCAGATCGTCTTCCTATGGTGATACATACTATCCTTAAGTTTGAAGTTTAAATCTCAAATGGTTCTTGAGATATCGCGCTAACAAACTCAATACAAGGAATTTCATAAGTTGACCTCTGTGACCTGTGACCTTTGACCTACGTACTCCAAAATCTAATCAGATCGTCTTCCTATGGTGATAAATACTATTCCCGAGTCTTAAGTTTAAATCTTAAATGGTTCTTGAGATATTGTGATAACGGTCAAACGGGACGGACGGACGGACGTACGGACGGACGTACGGACGGACGGACGTACGGACGGACGGACGTACGGACGGACGGACGTACGGACGGACAACCCGAAAACATGATGCCTCCGGCACCACCTTCGGTGGCGGAGGCATAAAAACATTGGTTACTTGGTCTTGGATATAGTTTAGGTGTTTGTTTTGGGGGTCAAAATCGTAGAATTATAGTTCAAAACAATAAAATACATATCAATCAAGACCTTCTCATCTCCATTCAAGGGTAATTCAGAACACTCGACTACGACACCTTTAAAATGGTATTTTCTGAATAACTTACAGTCTATGCTGGGCGTATTGAGGATGTTTGATTATTTCAAACTATTCAAATACCTGTTTGCTCTAATATATGAATGGTTAAAGTTGTCACAGACCTAATTTCTACCTTAGGTTCTGACTACATGCATGTGAAAAGAATCCTCATCCATCCATTGCCACAAACTTCCCCATATGTACAAGTATACAAAGACAGTGTTGGAACATCAGGGTCTTGTTTCACGAAACCATCATAAGTACAATTTCGCTGACTCCCTTATATAAAGTGTCTTGATTTAAAGGCTGGCTGTACTAGTTCAGTCAGAAGGGATTAGACCAACCAGCTAGTCAGGTCACTGTGACAGGTGGCTATCTCATTAACTCAGCTCTCAATTAACATAAGAAAAAGAGGATCATGGGGGACCAACAGGCACCGATTGGGGAAGTTTTCTATACAGAGGGAGCAAGTAGCTACAAGTAGGACAGTGTGGCTTTAAAACATGCATTTCAATAGGATGTTGGCGAACTTGTAGTACTTACGACAAAAAGCAGCGGAAATAAATTTATCATGATAGATAACTTTCTGAACCACTCACCGATCCTTCGCTGTTCATGTTGGGAAGGCTCGGCATGCTGGGAAGGCTGGGCATGCTGGGAATGATACTCAGGTTGGGTATATGTGGCTCCATCTGGATCTGTTCGACCTGGAACTCGACCTGGTTCTCCTGGATCACGTTGGTCCCAAAGTCATAGTTCTGCAGGTTGACCTGGACAGGGTCCTGCAGGATGGACCTACAAAGAAAGAAACAAACAACAAGAAATGCAGAGAATAATAATAATAAAATAATAATATTCAGCTTTTATATAGCGTTTAATACAAATGTCTCCAAGCGCTTTACAGATATACTATTACCCCGGCCATTGGATTCAAAACTTGGGGTCGAGAATGACATAACATGATTCAAAGAAACATGTATGTGTGTTTTTTAATTGGGTTTTTACAGGAAACAGGGATGCCAGTTAGAATTGATCATAGGGCCTGAAAATCACCTAGAATGAGCCATTTTATACCAAAAAAAAGCCTCAACTATGGTCTGAAAATAACTCGCCAAGGCCTGAATTCAGGCTATTGCCTGAATATTGTCATCCCTGGTAGTATAAATCAGATATGACTATTTACGTCTGAGGACTGAGCCTTTCAGAATATCGTTCCAGTTTGAAAACCCTCAAATAAGCTCCACGTCTAAAACCAACACCTTTTCTAAAACCCCATTTACTTCCTCGAACACAGCCAAGACCTTCAAGACCTTCAAAATACCCTTCCACTCTGCAAATTGGCAATGCAATACTACAACACTTTCTTTTGAGCTCTGAGCTCGACTTACTCAGAATACGAGCTGCCGTAGCATATCCTCCGGGCAATTTCGCACATCTTTCCTCCTCATCCACAAAACAAAAATATACCATCAAATCCTGAAGCATCCACTACCAGCACCGGTGAGCTCAAGATACCAAATCATTAAACACCAAGAACTTGGCTTGCAGAAAATGACTTTTGATCTAAGACCCTGGGAGAGGACTAATATCCACACAACGATGAACCTTTTTGCATTGCACAGAAATTCCTACACATGCAGGCGTCAGCAAACAAAAGAAAAGATACTCATAATTTTCCGAGATAAGAATTCTTTGTCCAGATTGCTGTACTCTGTAGACTTGTCGACAAGTGGTCTTGTAATGATGCTGTGGCCCATTGTCAATGTTACGCAAACAGACTTTGAGACCACGCAATTACCAGGAATATTTGAGATTTGATTACAACACCCCCTCTTGAAATGGGGAAGACCCTGAGTTCACGTTACAATGAGCTTAAAGGGAAATTGAGTCCTGTTAAAATACAGAATATATTTCTTTTTAAAGGTACTATGTCCCTTTTGCAGGCCATAAAAATGAAAAGGTTAAATTCCAATGGCATATGAAAGATAATACTAATGAAGAACTCCCCTTAAAAAAATGGGGCTTGAAAATGTCTTTAAGTGGGAAAATAACAACTATTTGTTGTCAAATCGACTTAGGAGAGCCAATAAGTAATAGTCTTAATTTTCAGACCGTTGTACCGCATGGTCGTACATTTTATGCTGCGCAAAAATTCAATCAGTTTAATTTTGGCCATTACAAGAAGTGGGATATTGATGTAGACAAATCCTTTACAGCTCATTTTATGTCTGTTATTACCAAAGAAGAAGAAAAAGCCAGTCAGTCACTCAATACAGACAATAGTGTCTGACAGTGAAGTCTAGCAAGTAAACGGGTTTCCTTGCATAATTTGAATATTAAGGACACCGCTAACGTTTAAATTTCACAGATAGGACATACATGACATATTCATAATTCCTGCAAAGTTCTACAGAATTGATGTTGGCTGCAAAATGGACATGGTATCTTTAATGCTCACACAGAAGAATATATCGTTTTAATTTCACATAAAAGGATTGCCCTAGAGATTGCCACGAACATTAATAGACCCATTTATTGTACAAAGTTTGAACCAAGTTTTTGTTCCCACAATTTTGTTTAACTCTTAAGCTGCCACCCATACAATGCACCCAGTGCCACAGTGCTAATCCCTATTGTGCCCGCTACTAATCTCCTGTGTGCCAAGTTAATTTAGGGTTGGTTCAAGTGCGTGTAGTTTAAATTGTTACTATGTTTGATCCACTATAACATCTCATCTGTATATTGTATAAAAAAGAATTGTACGTTAAAGTTGTAGGAAATTTAACCCTCTTTCTGTTGATACCAATATCATTTCATGAATCTGTAATTTTGGTAAAGTAAATAAGCACTATCAGTGAGTTGTCAAACCAATCCGTTGTCTCATTTCCCGCACACAATCTGAGGGGCCATGATCAAAACTGACAAATTTGATGATAAAATATCGCAATTTTCTCAGGAAAATCCAATGTAACGGTATATGTGAAGCACACAAAATCAAAACAACAATAAACCCCCTCCACAAATACAGTAAGCATTCATGCGTGCACGCAATGCGCATCGCACAATAGGCATAAACAATTAGCTTGTGTACTTATGCACGAAAATGTGTCCGTGGCACGCGAGCGGATGAGAGTTTATGTGTGCATGGCATGTCAACAGAAACCCGGTTATGTGTGCGTGGCACGCCAGCGCATGCACAGAACAGTGTTCTTGGCACGATAAGAGTTAACAGGGAATGTATGCATGTGGCCTTAGCCTTTAATAATAACAAATAAAGGTTGGACTTTTGGCTTATCTAGACGAGACACCAATGTGGACTTGTAACCAGGTTTCGTTTTCAATATCCACATTGAACTAAACTTTTATTCTGATCGCCAGAGCTAGGAATTTTTACAAGAATATTGATTTACAGAACCTTGGCTAAATTTTAGGCGACCGACTGTACCTCATACAAGTAAAAATAATACTTTTCTGTTCACTAGGAGAGGGGAGGAGCTCCTTAAGGAAATGTTATTGTAAAAGTGTGATTTTCTCAGTGATATTTATGTATTTTATTGTTTTCTATACAAGAGCACTTTTGAGAGCTAAATTGCTCACCGCTGCTGTCTATTTTTTCACTACCTCTATATTTCTTTCAAAAAATAGAAATGGATCATGTCATTTAAACTTCTGGATACCACAACAATATCAATTAAAAAGTTCTGCATGTAACGAAAATGACAATTGTTACCCATTAGCAACTATTTCAGATTTTATAGAACACAACATTCCCATTACGCCAGTCTTCATTAGCTCCAGATTGCCAACTATCCCGATCGCAAATTATCCAGTTAGTTTGCGTCCTCATCAGCCCAAAGTTGCAATTAGCAGAATATTTGGTCGAGATGATCATCCCAAGATATCTTGGGCTTGTTTGCAAAATATCCTCCTATTTGTCCGATGCGTCTTCACCAGCCCGAAGATTCGCACTATGCGTGAACGCTGAGCAAAATATCTCGAGCTAATTTCCCAAGCTCGAGTTTCAAGTTTCGAGGTCGAGTCTCAAGCTTGAGTCTCAAGCTGATGAAGATGCGATTTGTAACTTTGGGATTATTTCCCAAATCAAAAATAGCGGGCAATTTGGCAATCTCGAGCTGACAAGACATAGGGACCTAGTGCGGCCCACTTGTTGATTTTGACTTACCCTGACGTGACATCGTTCTGGAGCGTGGCCCACAGGGCGTGAAATGTCTCCTGACTCAGAGGGAGGTCTGCCATCTCCTGCGATGGCTGCTGCGTCTGCTGCGTCAATGGCACATTTCCATCCATGGTGGCGCCAGACTCACTCATCCAACACAGATGCAGAAGCTCCAAGGACAGACGGACGGACGGACGGACGGATCGTTATTTTCAGGTGCTTGTAGGTTGAGGGCAGGAATTTGGGGAGGGCAGCGGTAGAAGCTTTGCACAGGTCTAGAAGAATCTGCTACAGAATCTAGTGCAGCATTTGGGACACAGCTGCCAACCCCGAGGCAGCCTTACCATTATACAGACACTAGCAGCAGTGGCAGCAACTTGATGATCATCTACATCAAGGCGTGGCACGGAAGGCAATATTTGGTGTCGTGGTGGCAGCAACACAGTCGACAATCACAGCAGCGAGTGGTAGAAGGCACACATTTGCAGCACATCTCTAGTGGCATAACATCTGTAATGAAATAGAAACAAAGTATAATTTCATATCTTGTCAGAAAATACTTTCATAAATTTCTTTTTACGACTTACATGTATAACACATTTACATGTAAGCTGGGCTGCATTGCAGCTTAGACTTTCCTAAGCCTGAACAAGAAAAAAAAAAGTCAAACAAAACAGATTATTGTTACACAAAATGAAGATATAATCCACAATAAAATATTGAAAGCAGCAATTTGTGTTTCAACAGATATTTCTCAGATTTTAAAAGCCAACTGGTCATTCTAGTGAATGAATTCGAGATGTCTTAGAAACCAGACGGTTTACCTCACAAACTTAACTCCAAATGGTAGTTATTTATCTCTCACAGGCAAGAAGTACATGAGTTCAACAAGCAATATACCCTAAGTCTTTCACATGCTATATGCTCATACAGATGTGATGACATTCTTGCATCATCCTTTTCATCAATACCTGGTAGAATACACCAAAGCATATGCTACTTTTGCTGTGCTCACAGCATGCTTTCTACATGCAAGCCTAGAGATTAATCAAGATTTATCAGCATAATTATGCATTTTTAAGAGAAATAATTCACTGGGCATTACAAGAAAAATATACAGCAGTAGAAATGAAGAACTTTCGCAAGCTTTATGCAAACATGCTTTGAACATACATGTATATGGAAGCAAATGGTATTACAGGCATAGCCAAATTAGACCCTACAAATTCCCACGTACTGAATACTCACTAGTCATTCAATTTTCCAACTTCATGAATAGTCATTGGATTCATTCAATCATACCAATCCGATAAACTGTAAATCCCCACTTCATTGACATTCAATGGTTCATTCAATCATGCTAATCCTACAAACTCCCACTTCATGAATATTCATTGGATTCATTCATTCAATCCTACAATTCTCCACTCATTCATTCAATCATACAATATTTTCACTTCATGAATATTCATCAAGTTGATTCAGTAACGCCAATCACCAAATAAGGCTGGCCTTGTTCCATCACAACAAAGTTGAAAAATTATTTTCCCTTGGGACAACGTGGTATAACCCCTTTATTGTGCAATAATTATTGCAAATCACACACAGGTGGGAATCCCTAGGCTACCCTGGGAATTCACCAAGGATGTCAAAAATCATCATGTGTAGTCCCACATCATCAATTTGGTATCAGGTCTGGAAATACCTTTGGTATCTTGTAATCTTCAAAGGGCTATGCAGCCTTTCAAGAAGGTGAACTACTGTACTAAGTACTAACCGTTGGTGAAATAACTGGTCTTTGGACAAAATGCATGAATCCACCAACTTGATATTGATCAAATGATATTGATCAAATCATTATGTGTAGTCCAACACGTTCACTTTGGAATCAGGATAAGAAAACTTATCTCACCATGGTCATTAATTACCAAACTTCATTGTAAAAGTTTGGTATTTGATAGAAATCAATAAAATGCTGTTTGGAAAAGTTTAGGTGCAGCATGAAAGGGTATCAAACATAATGAGCCCCAAATGATATTCTAGAATACAAGAAAGATCATAAAAGATGTGTCCAAAATATGCAAATCACGTACCCACTTTTACAACTGTAGATCTAAAAGTACAGTGTATCTCTTTTAGATTCCATCAAACACTTGAAAGCGGTTCACTAACCTCAATGAATAAGAAAAGCCTTGGATGTCAAAATATGTTGACAAATTACATTCAATTTCAAACAAAATCAATTACAGCTCCATAATGAAATGCTTGCCTGCTCCCCAGATTGTAAGACATTACTGCAATTAGTCTGAAAACTGCACTCTTTACTCCTAACAATACCAGCATGCAGGCCTATTATTTCTTTTAAAGAAAATAACAAACCCCAACAAACAAATGAAAGTTGTTTAAAGTTTCAAATGGAAGAAGCCATATGTTTTCTTGACTGACTAATACCAGATCACTGATTACCGCCCTGGCCAAGATAATCCCCCAACTTGCTTTCTCCTGGGATTAAAATCTTAAGAGGGGGTTGTAATGGACTGCCAACGTGGAACCTGAGTCACCCTTTCTTCCATTGGAGGGTAATGAGTGGGGGAGGGTGAGGAGTGCGGGGAGGGGGGGGTGCAGGAGGGCAGTGAGTGCCAGCGTTATCTAAGAGTCCCATTACTGTCAAGTAATTGACCACATCTATTGTGACATTGGGCAGTTCAATTACTGATCACACCATATTAGTCCATACGATGATGCAATCCCGGCCAAAATCAATGACGTTCAGCCCAGATTAGTCTCAATATGAGGCGCCGCCTGGCTAAAGATATTTCCCGGGGATATACCTTTAACAAACATATCTTTAACAAATTAAACTTCATTGCTCAGGACAGGGTAGTAGCCCTTCAAAGACTTCTACAGGTTTAATTGACATTTCTCAGGGAATTAACAGTCATTATCGCGATATAGAATTGAAAATGAATAAAATAACTCACTTGAAGAGACAATATGATAAATATTCATATTCTAATGCACCGGAAAATATACACTGAAGAGTCAAATAAGATTTGTAACTGCATAAATATTTTCCCCATCTACATGTACATGTATGTAAATACATGAAGATGTATTTATTTAGTCGGGATGCATTACACTGAAAACCATGCTTATCATAAAACAATTGTTCATCCAAAATGGAGAAAAATGATAAGGATATACATTGTAGATGGAAAGCGCAACACATGTCACAAATTAATCAACCGAGCCTGCTTTACACAACATGGTTAAATATCAAAACAGGAAACCAGAGTCGGTATGCATCTCCCCGCAATATGGTCAAAGCTGAAAGAAACTTGATATATATGGTCAGTAATATTACTAAAATAAGACCAAATCGGATTTGAAGTAACAGGAAGTATAACAAATTTTCTGCAGAAGAAGTGCGTGCGAAACAACCGACTGTCTTTATGGGAAAAGTGAAACGGTTGCCAAATTTCGCGCCGAACGACGGACCGACTTGCAGCACGTGGGGAAGGAGTATCAAAAGCGAATGGATTACTCAATTACGCGCCAAAACGGTTTTGGTGGGAGAGGAAGTAAAGAGAGAATAATGTCACAGAAGAATCATGAGCACGTGGGAAGGGAGTAGCAAAAGTAAATGGAATTCTAAATTGCACGCCAAAATTGGGCACGCTGAAAAGGGAAGTACAAAGAGTAAGGTGCAGGATTGAGTGCCAAACGACTGGTTGTCTTGTAACACGTGGATCAATTAAGCGCCAAAAGGGATTTGGTGGGAAAGGAAGTAAAGGGAGAACAGTGTCACAGAAGAATCACGAGCCAAATGACCGACTGTCTGGCAGCATGTGGGAAGGGAGTAGCAAAAGCAAATGGAATTCTAAATTGCGCGCCAAAATTGGGCATGGTGAAAAAGGAAGTAAGGAGAGTAAGGTGCAGGATTGAGTGCCAAACGACCCGTTGTCAGGGAAAAAAATACACGGGGGCTCGGGGCAAATTAGCCCCCGAAATGCCAAAAAGAGGCCTTAAAATTTGCACAGAGTTCAATGCAAAACAAAAAGAGTGTTGAAAAGTAGCCCCCCAAATTTTTTAAATAATTTTTTCCCTGCCGGTTGTCTTGTAACACATGAGAAGAGAGTGGGGGAAAGAGCGATCATCATCAGACTTTTGATCAAAATGGTACACCTCTCATCAAAACCAAAAAAGTTGTATGAATAGATTATAAAACTAATAATTTGTTACAAAAAGCTAGTATTATTTAAAAGCTTTGTATCAATACAGGTATCAGTGTTTGCTCAGATTTCCTTACCAAAGAAACGATATAGAAATCCATCGTAATTATACTACAAAAGAAATTTGTTTAAAGTTCATTCCATTGTAAACCACACTAGCTGATTCAACTTCCAGAGAATTCTATCACAAGTTCTATTTATAGAAACACGTTTTCTTTCAAAACAAGTTTATATAGATCAAGGAGCATTCTTCTTGTACTTCCTTTCCTTCTAGATACTTCTAAATGCAATTTGTGTTCATTTTTGGAGGTAACCCGACTGAAGAAAGCTCTCGGAAAAATTTCCTTTGAAAAATAACACAAGTATTGAAGAACAAGACATCATTTTGGAGTGAATTTTACTGTAAAAATGACTAATAAAATAGCCGAAATTGCCAATGATACACCTGAGGCTAGAACATGTACTGTACCTAACATATACTATGCAGTGATCAGATGAAAACCCAATATACCACGCAAATCACGTGCATCAACAATACAGCATTGCAATCACATTGTACGCATGTACATGCAACTCACTCACCTACAGTACCAAACAACCAGCTATCGTAGACTCAGCCCCAATTAGGATCAACGGTGCTCCTAGTCATTGTACACAAACAACAATGTCACAACACAGACATTTTCATCGACTGTCACGGAAAGCAATTCCTGGCAACTTTAGGTTCACTCTTTCAAAGGGGACCAGTGCTACATCATATCACTTTCAATGTTTTCCCACAGGTGTAGCAAGTAGTACATGCCATGAATAGTGTACAGCCGCCGCCGAGTTGATGTGTTTACAATGAGGAGACAAGCATGCAGTACTCATGTACGTGCACATTGCAGTACTGGGCTATCCCTTCTCCTAGTCTTGTTTCAGGCAGAACCAAAATTAAATTTCCACAAGTATGGCAAGATTTCTCAAAAATGTCGACTGATCATTTCAGTAAATATCAACAGCATCATCATCACTTAATCAAACTGCCATGACAATCCTTCTCTCCATTTTTTGTCTTGAGCATCCACTTCATAGAGACCAACCTTCCGCAGTTTCGGCTTACTTTCTTCACCATACTTTTCCATGAAATCTTTGAGCTTTCTTTTCTCCTAAAATATGCCATCCACTTCTAGATCCCACACTCTTCCGTCTTTGTTTTTTTTACGGTGGACTGTCGGTCAAACTGGAACAGGCCACGATAATGAAGTCGTAGAATCATGATTGAGATCGCCGTTCGTT